AGATAGATAGATAAACATTGATGAGAGAGAAACACATCCACTGGTTGCCTCCCTGGGGACGGGGAGCAGGTACCTACTCAGGTACCTGCCTTCGACTAGGCCTCAAACCTGGGGCCCTTTGGTGCATGGCTGATGCTCTAACCATTAAGCAACACCAGCCAGGGCTAAAGTTTACATATTTAAAGAGCCATAATCTTAACAATAGATACAGCAAACATTATACTTAATAAAATAATAAAATATTGAAGCATTCCAAAAAACAGTGGGCATTTCTATGTTGTCAATATTACTCCTTCTAGACTGGTTGGCATGGCTCAATGTTGAGCACTGATCTAGGAACCAGGAGGTCACAGTTCAATTCCTTGTCAGGGCACATGCCTGGGTTGTAAAGTTGATGTAGGATCCTACCTATACACAAATTGCGTGCACCGGGCCTCTAGTCCTATATCCTAATCCTATATAATAAAGATATAATATGTAAATGGTCATTATGCCATAAAGCGTAATGACCAACCACGTAATGACCAGATTATGGATCAGCAGGAGGTGGGGCAGCGAGCTACAAGCAGGCAGTGGAGAGCTACAGGAGGAGGCAGGGCAGCAAGCTATGAGGGGGGAAAGAGGAGCTATAGGAGGGTGGGACAATGGGTGGAGAGCTACTGGAGGGCAGCAGCAAGCTACTGGTGCACAGATTCATGCGCAGGGCTACCAGTATAGTATAGGATTCCAAATATATAACATTCTGGAAAAGGAAAAATTATGAAGACAAAAGATCTGTGGTTGCCAGTAGTTGACTGTGGAGGAGGGATGAATAGGCAGAGCACAGAGGATTTTTTAGGGCAGTGAAAATACTGTGTACAACACCATAGCAATGGCTATGTCATTATACATTTGTCCAAACCCATTGCATGTACAACAACAAGAGTGAATCTTTAAAAAAAAAAAAAAAAAAATTATTGATTTCAGAGAGGAAGAGTGAGATAGAAACATCAATGATGAGAATCACTGATGGTCTGCCTCCTGCATGCCCCCTATTGGGATCGAGCCCACAACCCACTCATGTGCTCTTGACCTTGACTTGGATTGAACCTTTGGGACCTTTCAGTGCCAAAGGCTGACATTCTATCCACTGAGCCAAACCAGGTAGAGTGAATCTTAATGTAAACTATGGACTTTGGGTGATTATGACATATCAGTGTAAGTTCATCAATTGTAACAAATGTATTATTCTGGTGCGAGAGGCTCTGCATGTGTTGGGGAAGGCTATCTTTCCCCCAATTTTGCTGTGAACATAAAATAGCTCTAAAAAAATAAAGTCTTAACTAAAAATGGAAGAATAGCCCAGCTGGAATGGCTCAGTAGTTGAGTATCGACCTATGAACCAAGAGGTCACAGTATGATTCCTGGTCAGGGCATATGCCATCCCCAGTAGGGGGTGTGCAGGAGGCAGCCAATCAATGATTCTCTCTCATCACTGATGATTCTCTCTCTCCCTCTCCTTTCCTTTCTGAAATCAATAAAAATGTTTTTTTGTTTGTTTGTTTTGTTTTTTTAAAGAAAGTAAGGTGGGGGCGGGAAAGGTTTTTATATAAATTGCAAGAAACATTTAATGTTAGATTAAAAAAATATATATATATATTATTGATATTTTACAGAGAGGAGGAAGGGAGAGAGACAGAGAGCTAGAAACGTTGATGAGAGAGAAACATCGACCAGCTGCCTCTTGCACACCCCCTACCGGGGATGTGCCCGCAACCAACGTACATGCCCTTGACCGGAATCGAACCTGGGACCCTTCAGTCCGCAGATCGATGCTCTACCACTGAGCCAAACTGGTTTCGGCAAATTGCAAGAAACATTTAAATTTAAAGTAATTAAAACAATGTCAGCCTGGCTGGCATGGCTCAATGGTTGAGCACTGACCTATGAACCAGGAGGTCAGGTTCGATTCCAGTCAAGGGCTCATGCCCAGGTTACAGGCTCGATCCCCAGTGTGGGGTGTGCAGGAGGCAGCTGATCAATGATTCTCTCCCATCACTGATCTGATGTCTCTCTGTCTCTCTCTCTCTCTTCCTCTCTGAAATCAATAAATATATTTAAAACAAAAACAAAAACACACAAAAAAAACATGTCATTGACTTAGAAGGTACACAGAGACCAATGGAACAGAGAAGATGACAAAGAAACTTATATAAGAACTTGGTATATTAGAGACATGACATTAAAAAGCAATGGAGCCCTGGCCCATGTGGCTCAGTTGATTTGAGTGTTGTCCTGTGCATTGAAGGGTCATGGGTTCAATTCCCAGTCAGGGAACATATATGAGTTTCGAATTCAGTGCCTGGTTGATGTTTCTCTCTCACATTGATGTTTCTGTTTCTCTCTCTCTCCCCCTTCCCCTCCTCTCAAAAAAAAAAAAAAAAATCAATGAAGGCATATCTTCAGGTGAGAATAAAAAAAAAATCAATGAAGGCATATCTTCAGGATTGGGTAGTCACACAATGGACTAGTAGGGACTACTGGCTGTCAGATATACAGTAAAATTAGCTCTGACACCCACACACAAAATATTCTGGATGGATTAAAGATCTAAGTGTGAAAAACCTATATTAAATATATACATCCCTATTAGACTGTAGGCTCCTTAAAACAAGAGTCTGTATTGCAAAATTGTGTATTCAATACTACTTAGAATATGCAAACACTAAGATGAAAGAAAATCTGCCCATCCAGGATGGTTCAGAGGTTGAGCATCGACCCATGAACCAAGAGGTCACCTGTTGATTCCTAGTCAGGGCACATCCCCAGGAGGGAATGTGCAAGAGGCAGGTGATTGATGTTTCTCTTTCATTGATATTTCTCTATCTCTCCTTTCCCCTTCCCTAAAACCAATAAAAATTTTAAAAAGGTGATAGAAAATCTTTGTAATTTTAATATCTATGACCTTAGGGTAGGAAATAATTTCTTAATATACTGAACAGAACCATAAAAGATAAAATTGATAAATCTGGTAACACTAAAATTAAAAACACCTGTGTAACAGACGACTAAAGTTTCAAGACAAGCCAAAACCAAAACAAAGCAGGGGGAAATACTATTTGGGAAGTAAAAAACAAATCAAGTAGAAAATGAGTAAATGACAGAACTAGGTAATTCATAGAAGAAAAAAATCTAGAGCTGAAAAATGTATGAACAAGATGCCTAGTCTCACTAATAATCAGGGAATTGCAAATTAAACTAATAAGATATTTCACACATTCATTAGATTGAGCAAAAATTTTAAACTTTGATGAAATCAAATGTGTGGGGATGAGCTCCTCATGCTCTCACAACCCACTGTGGAGAACAGAACAAGTGGTAATAGGTAAAGTTGATGATGAACTTGTAGGAGTCTACCCTAGAGAATTCTTACACAGGCGCACTACAGAGGTATGTTTAAGAGTGATAATTGCAACACTGTAATAGGAGAAAACAACAAAATTGCCAGTAGGACATAAACTGGTATAAGTATACAATGGAATTCACAAACCCGGTTAAAAATGAATGAATTAGATCTATATATCCAAAAGAATCTTCTCAAAAGCCATGTTTAGTTTTTTGTTTTTGTTTTTAAAAGGCAAGTTACACCACAGATAATAAATACAAAAGAATTCTTATTTCCCAAAATCCTTATTGAAAAACTGACTCTCTGACTCCCAAAATAGATAACATGTTTCTTCTGCCATCTGCACTCATTAGAATCCTACCCATCCTTTAACGGTCAAAGTGAATGCCATTTTCTTCAAGAAGCTTTCGATTACCCCAATCTGAAGAAATTATTCCTTCTCTGCTCTCACAGGGCTTGGTATTACCTATGTGACAGGTATCACAGGTCTGAAAGATCTGTTTTTTTTTTTTTTTTGAGTGTCCCAAATCTACTCGACTATGAGTTCCTTAAGGTTAGGGGAACTATCTTACACAAGTTTGCATTCATTTTTAATTTTTATCGATTGAGTTTATTTAAAAAATTTAAAAAGTTTATTGCTTTTAGAGAGAGAGGGAGCGGGAGGGGGAGGACGAGGGGGAGAAAGACGGAGAAAATCAGAGACAGAGCTGGACATTGCTTTGTTATTCCACTTATGTGTGCCCTAACCGGGACTGAACCGCAATCAAGGCGCAACTAACCACTGCACTACCCGGCCAGGACTACAACTTTGTATTCAATTTAATAAATACAGTCATTGCTTTTGTTTAAAGTTTAAAAAGTTTAATAAGACATGGTTCCTGCCTCAAGGAGATTATGAGTGTATGATGTAGAATTGGGAAACAGACACGTAAATAATTATGATGAGCTATAATAGCACTACAGAGTGTTATGGATAACGAAAGAGGGATTATATCCCGCATACAGCCTTGAAAACAGTAGGCATTCACTTTGTACTAATCCATGACATTGGTGGAGACCAAGGAAAGAGGGATGCTTGTCGCAATTAAGGGCAGTTAACATAGAGAAACAAGAAGATGGAAGTATTTTCCCCTAGGCAACGCGATAGGGTGCGAGTTTGATGGGGGAAAGTCGAAGACATAGGGGGTTAGGTTTTAAGGGTCTGCGGGGTTGGGAGGGGGGTGAGGGGTGGGCCCGGAGGAGGGTTGGAGTGTGTGCTGGGGAAGGAAGGGGAAGATCCGATTGGAAAACGGCTCAGCACCGTACCTTTCTCATTGCGAACCGGGACGGCCCCAGCCGTGGACTGAATGGGCGGCTGCTTCATGAGTGCGCTTGGGACCGACATGTTCATGGCGGCGGCAGTGCTCCGGACACTTCCCTGATTCCAGATAGTAAACGGCTACCAACGGCAAAACAAAAATCTTTCCTACTAGAGGCCCTGGATGTTGCACTGCGACTGACGGAAACACAGCTTAAGGTGGGGCTAGAGAAACCGGAAGTGTGTCACCAGGGGATTGTGGGATTGTGGAGGACTTCCGGGCCGCGTACGGCTAGAACCGGAGCTTGTTATTGCGCATGTGCACAGTCAGCCTATCGTCCACAGCCTCGCAGTGTTTGGACGTGACTTCTGGCGGGAAATTGTTTCCATTGAGGTTTGCTGTTCCCTTGCGGCGAGGATGATCAGAATTAAAGGTTTCGTTTGTTACCTTGGTTTGAAGCGGAGGAAAATGGGATAGTGACAAATAAGAAACTTTGGAGATAGGGAAGGGCAGTTTGAGCAGACGGTTGAGAGCCCAGAATTAGCGTTTAATTGGGATAGAAATCCTGCTAATCGAACCTGATGCCTGAAATCTGAGCACTCTACTTTTAGGTTTTCCAGTTCAAGTTTTTGGAGACTGCCTATGAAAACATTCCTGGTTGGAAAGTGTTTGTATAGAAGCCCATAACTATTAAATATTTGCTGTGTTTACCATGCTTAGCTCTCTGTAAGGAATATGGAATAATGTTAAATGCCTCATGTTCTCAAGAAGCTTTTAAAATAAAATATTTTTATTTTAAAATAAAATATTTTTATTTTAAAATAAAAATAAAGAATCATAAATATTAAAAATAAAAGAAGAAGCTTGAGTTTTATTCAGAAAGTCTTCAAGGGCTTATGGAATTATAACAGAAGCAATTGCAGTTCACTGGCTGTTGTGTAAAACACATTGGCTAATTGTTAAGTCAGAACATTTAATCGTAGAATGGTTTTTACAGATGCTGTGGTGGGGAGAGAAGGGACAGCATGAACAAGTCTCGAAGTCCAGAAATGACATGGTATAATACATCAGACACTATGAAAAGTTTCATTTTACCAGTAAATTTTGAGTCAAGGAGCACTCAGAGTTTGACAGCTGTGCAGGTGCTGTTAACAGGATTATTTCACCTGCATTTTATGATTGGGCTGGCTGTGAGAAGGAATAAAATTGGGCAAGTCTACAGTAAGGAACAGGGGAGGACCCCAGTAACCAAGGGAGCAGTTTTGAATTGAAAGAAAAGGATCTTAATTTTATAAGATGAATTTATCAGCACTAAAACTAGGCTGTCCAAAGGAAGTAATTTGTTGGGAGGCAGTTGTTTTGGCTCATGGCAACCCAAAGAACAGGAAAAAAAATTAATATGGCTATATCTAGCTTTGTGCAGTGGCAGTATCATAGCCAATAAGGTTTATTGGAGGCACGATTATTGGTAATTGAAGAAAAAATAAAATGGCTATCTATAAGAAATGCTATGCACTAAGATCTGAGGTTATTTTGTGATACACGGATTACTCAATCCACTTTTCCCCAACCTTAGGCTCTGTAAGGCCATCATTAGTCTTTAAGTTAACTGGTGGGCAGATGAGCTGGTGAAATTTAAACCAGCTGAAAGTTCTCAGCTTTTGGGGGTGGGGTGGGAGTAGGAAATCAAAATGCTTCCCTTCCTAGGAAGAAGACAATACGGTAGCCTTATGGCATACTATACTAGTGGAGGGGTTACAAGGACTAGGGGACTCGAGGTAAAGGGTGAACGTTGCTTTCAATTTCTTTTCCTCTGTTTCTGAGGGCATCTAAGTGAGTCTGAATACCTTTCAGGCTCACATTTCAAGGCAAGATAGTTTTTCCTCTGCAAAAGTGCCAGTGTTTTCAAAGCGAGGTCCTGGCTGGCACCTGCAGCGTCAAAATCACCAGGATCCAAGGTAAAAATGTTCTTTCTATCCCATTGCATCTTTAAGGTACAGTGAGTGGAACCTCGTTTCTCGAACTTAATTCATTCCTGAAGGCTGTTGGAGAAGCGATTTGTTCGAAAACTGAATCATTTTTCTCCTCCATTAGAAATAATATAAATGGAATTAATCCATTACAGGCCCCCAAATTATTCTGTTTCAACCTTTCTTATATACATGTTAATGCACTGTTTAATCTATAAACAAACACTTATTTTCTTAAATTTATTGAACCATCCCCTACTAGTCTTAAAGGAATTTTTCATATATCACTGCCTCCAAAATGCTATCTATCACCAGCTGCTTTTTCTTATCCAATCAACAACAGTGTTTTGTTTTGTTTAACCTGTGCTCCATTGCCTGTGATTGCTGTTTTGTGTGCAATTTTCACAGCCATTCTTGATGGCCTCTTTCTGTTTTAAACTTGTGCTAATGGAAAGCAACAAAAGCATGGCCTGCAAAATGCTTTTTGTCATGCTGAGATATCAGCATGAAAGGATTGTCGGCTCGAAAACGAAAAAGAAAAAAAAAGAAAGAAAAGTTTTGGTCAACAACCGGGACATTTTTCTCTCTCTCCCCCTCCCCCCTTTCTGGGAGCAACTTAGAACCCCATTGTTGGAGATGGGAGACGGAGGTTTGACTGGACTTGAATTTGGGTGAGACTAGGGAGCCTGCTTCTTTAAGAGACTGCAGTACCCCCGCCCCGCCCCGCCCCGCCCGCGGCGCCGCCCCCGCCCCCGCCCCCGCCCATATTGGCGGGAAGACGCCGGCCCGAGCGGAGGCACGATGTCCGCGGAGAAGGCGGGCTGCACACCGCCGCTCCGGGCGGAGGTGAGACTGGCTCTGGGTGTCGCTGCCGCAGTTTTCGGGGGAGTCTGTGCTTGCGGGGAGGGGCGGCACGGGGCCCCAAACTATTTCCCTCCTCTGCGCCTCTGGTAGTGTAGCGGGCTTTCCCCGGGTTCCTTCCAAAGAGAAGCCCTTGTCAAACCTCCGAGGGAGGGGAGGGGAGGGTGAGGGTAAGGGGGAGAGATCAACCGAAGGACTTGTGTGCATGCCTATGAGCCTAACCAGTGGCCAAGGACAACAGGGGGTGTGGGGGCATACGTGGGGAAAGGTTTGCGATGGGAATGGGGGGGAAGATGAGGACAATTATGTGATTCCATAATCAATAAAGAAATTTAAAAAAATTATGCTAGCCAAAAACGGGTTGGCTCAGTGGATAGAGCATCAGACTGCAGACTGAAAGGTCCCAGGTTCGATTCCGGTCAAGGGCATGTACATTGGTTGCGGGCATATCCGCAGTAGGAGGTGTGCTGGTCGATGTTCCTCTCTCATCGATGTTTCTAGCTCTCTATCCCTTTCCCTTCCTCTCTGTAAAAAATCAATAAAATATATTAAAAAATTATGCTAAAACCAGTCAGATAATTGGGGCCATTCCAGGAGGTTGTAATACCAGGATTTGGAGTTGTTGATTCCATAATTCAAGATCTCAGCTCTGCTTATTCAAATAGACTTGCAGAATCTGAATTTCTTCTTTAAAAAATAACTTTATTAAGGTATCTTTTACATATAGGAATTACATATATTTACAGTGTACAACGTGATGTTGATGTCTATATAACATTGAAAAGACACCATAATTAAGCTAAAATATTATGTCACCTTTACATAGTGACTTGTCTGTATGTATGTGTTTTGAGGAGATTTAAGATGTATCACCTTAGAAAACTTCAAGTATATAATAGAGTGTTGTGAATTATTGTCATTATGCTATACTTCAGCTCTCCAGAATTTATTCATCACACATAAGTAAACTTTTGTATCCTGTGACCAATATCTTCTTATTTCTCCCACTCCCCAGTCTATGGCAACCATCATCCTACTGTCTGATTTTGAGTTTGATGTTTTTAAATTCCAAATATAAGTGAGGTCATGCAGTAAAAACAAAACAAAACAAAAAACAAAAAATAACCCACAAAAAACAAAACAAAAACAAAAGAGAAGCCCGATCCCTGTTCTGGTTTTCTTTCTTTAAAAAAAAAAATAAAAATAAATAAATATTATATATATATATATATAAAAATATATATATATATATATATAATTTTTTCATTTTATTTTTTTACAGAGAGAAAGGGAGAGGGATAGAGAGTTAGAAACATCAATGAGAGAGAATCACTGATCAGCTGCCTCCTGCACACCCCCCACCAGGGATGTGCCTGCAACCAAGGTACATGCCCTTGAGGGGAATCGAACCCGGGACCCCTCAGGTTGCAAGCTGAGGCTCTATCCACTGAGCCAAACCGGTCAGGGTATCTGGTTTTCTTTTATGGAGTCTAGGCCTTTGGGGCAGAGGAAGGTTCTTTTGAACCCCAGACATAGTGGCAGGATGGGATCAGGGACTCTACGTTTGCTTTTGCAGCAGTTGTCAGTTTCTCACTCTTGAACAATTCCATTTACTCAGGAGCTGACAGTTGGGGTAGACTTCTCAGTTACAAATTATAGCCATGACGGTATTATCATTGGTCTGGTAGACTCATGTGAGCAAGAAATGTGTCCAGTTAATAAATTTGGTGTCTAGATTTGGGATGGAAAAAGTTACAGATTTATCAATTTGGATTTATGTTGTCATTATGAAATAGGAATTAGATTTGTTTGCACTGATCTGTAAGCAAAGGTAGAGGACCTGGGTTTCCTAATACTCTTTTTTTTTTTTTGGTCTGAATAGGTGAATGAATATAAGGAAAACCAGAACATCTCTTACATATCTCAGAGACTAGTTTTAGAAAAAACAGCTAAGGTGTGCCTTGTCCCCTTTTCACTCAGTGATTACAAGCCAGGTGAATTTAAGCTCCCTAGATCCCTGTTAGATAATTCTAACAACGAAGTGGCATGTAAGAAATATAAGAAGACTGAAATAAAGAAAACTTACAGAGAGATTTTAACTCCAAAGATGAAAGCCACTGCATCTTCTAAGACAGAATCCACTTTGCAAAAATCATCCTTAGATGTTCACACAGAAAATCACAAACAACACATGAGCACTTCGGATACAGTGCTTCTCAGCGTTGGGATGGAAGGCAGTCTGGATGGAGACAGCGATGAAGATACATCAGGCCAGGTAAGAGTTTAATTCCTGTTTACCCAAATTTTCTTAATTTAAAAATAGAAGTTCTGATAATCACCATTAATTGGTTGTATTGATGTGTGGAATAATATTTCCTTTAAACACAAAAAGGAGACAAATGATGGAGTAGAGAAGATACCTGAGAAAATTTATTAGTTCAATTTAAATAATCATTTAAATCAGCCTAAGAAATTAGGCATCTACTTCTTCCGACACACACACACACACACACACACAAGTTCTTTGATTGATCACTTCCCAACCACCCACCCACCTGCCCTCCTCTCTGAGATTCCAGTCTGTGCCATGCTTCTATGTCACTGGATCTATTTTGTTTATCAGTTTATTTTGTTCATTAGATTCCACATATGAGTGAGATCATGGGATACTTATCTTTCTCTGACTGGCTTATTTCGATTAGGTCCCTCCATGCTGTCTCAAAGGATAAGAGATCCTTTTTTTTTTTTTTTTTATTGCTTGGTAGTATTTCATGGTGTAAATGTACCACAGCTTTGCTTTGTTATCTACTCATCTGCTGATGGGCACTTGGGCTGTTTTCAGATCTTAGCTATATAAATAGTGCTGCTATGAACATGGGGGGGCATATATTCTTTCTGATTGGTGTTTCAAGTTTCTTAGGATCTGTTCCTGGAAGTGGGATCTCTGTGTCAAGTGGCAGTTCCATTGAAAAAAAATTTTTTTTTTTTTTTTTTTTTTTTTTTTGCCTGCCATAACCATTTTAAAGTTTTTGAGGAAATTCCATACTGTTTTCCATAGAGGCTGCACCAGTCTGCATTCCTACCAGCAGTGTACTAGGGATCGAACATCCTTGTCAGCACTTGTCATTTTGATGTGTTGATGATATCATTCTGAGATAATACCTCCTTGTGGTTTTAATTTGCATCTCTGATGATTAGTGACTTGGAGCATTTTTTTTTCATATGTCTCCTGGCCATCTGTATGTCCACTTTAGAAGAAGTGTCTATTTAGGCCCTTTGCCCATTTTTCAATTGGATTGTTTATCTTCCTTTTGTTAGTTGCATGAATTATATATATATTATATATATATATTTAGTAATATATATATAATATATATATTTAGTAATATATATATATATTTTTTTTATTGATTTCAGAGAGGACCGGAGAGGGAGAGATAGAAACATCATTGAGAGAAACATCATTGATTGGCTGCCTCCTGCACACCCCCTACTGGGAATCAAGCCCGCAACCCAGGCGTGTGCCCTGACTGGGAATCTAACCATGACCTTCTGGTTCATAGGTAGACATTTAACCCCTACCAGCTGGGCCCTTATATATTTTGGTGATTAACTCTGTATCAGATGTATCATTGGCACATATGTTCCTTCATAAACCTCATACAATGGACTCCCTTTTCATTTTGGTTGATGGTTTCTTTTGCTGTGAGAAGCTTTTTATTTTGATGTAGTGCCATTTGTTTACTTTTCTCTTAGTTTCCCTTTGCCCTAGGAGAAGTATTGGCAAATATATTGCTACAAGGGATGTATGAGATTTTGCTGCCTATGGTTTCTTCTAAGATTTTTTATGGTTTCATGACTTACATTTAAGTGCTTTATCCATTTTTGTTTGTTCTTGTTTATGGTGTAAGTTGGTGGTCTAGTTTAATTTTTTGGGATATACATGTCCAATTTTCCAAACACCATTTATTTATTTTGGATCCTCACTTGAGGATACTTTTCCATTGATTTTGAGCGAGAGTGGAAGAGAGAGAAAAAGACAGAAATATTGATGTGAGAGAAACACACCGATTGGTTGCCTCCTGAGCACGCCCAGCCAGAGTCAGGGTCAGGGAGGAGCCTGCAACCAAGGTATCCTGCCTGGACTGGAATCCGAGGGGAGGCAGACTCTCTCTTTACTAAACCAAACTGCTAGGGCCCAAACACCATTTATTAAAGAGACTATCTTTACTCCATTGTATGCTCTTGCCTCCTTTGTGGTAATATAACTAGCCTTGGGTCTTTTTTCATTCCTTGTGCCTGGGCCTTTTTTTTTTTTTCTTTTTCTTTTTTTTTCTTTTTCAATCCTCACCAGAGGATATTTTTTTCCCCATTGATTTTTAGAGGGAGAGAGGGAGAAAAAGAGAGAGAGATAGTGATGTGAGAGAGACACATTGAGGGGCTGGGGATCAAACCTGCAACCCAGGTACATACCTTTGACCAGGATATTTACTCAAGACCCTTGGGTGCTTGGGCCACGGAACCACACTAGCCAGGGCTCATTGGGCCCTTTTAATGTTATGTTTTCAGAAACTTTCTTGTTTTATTTTTCTTTTTTAAACTTTTTTTAAAAAAATATATTTTTATTGATTTTTTACTGAGAGGGATAGAGAGTTAGAAACATTGATCAGCTGCCTCCTGCACACCCCCTACTAGGGATGTGCCCGCAACCAAGGTACATGCCCTTGCCTGGAATCGAACCCGGGACCCTTCAGTCCGCAGGCCGACGCTCTATCCACTGAACAAAACCGGCTTTGGCTATTTTTCTATTTTCTCTGCTTTACCTCCCTCCAACTATTGGATATTGGACTTTGACAATGGCTTCTCTAGTCATATTGCCCTTTCTGTTCATGCGGGTTTTTGTTTTGTTGTTGTTCTTTCTAGATTTCCTTAACACTTTCAATGAATTTAATTTTTTCTGTTAAGTTCTTTCTTCTTTTGTTTAATAAAAGTATAACTTTTTTTGTAATAGTATAATTAATGGCAGTAGGAAATAGCTTGCTATTAGGTTATACTACTTGACTTGATATCAGATCACTTGCTATTTAATTGGGAAGCCATACAAATATCATGCAATTATCCCCCATTCAAACGCTTTCACTCGATATCTAATAAAGCAGAGATTATGTGCTCTTTGATAAGACATGAAATGAATTGAATAGGTGCAATTTAAAGGAAAGTACACATGCAGAGCATTGAACACCTAGTTTTGTGAGGTGCTTTTGCTGTAGATTATATAAACTAACAGAATCTTTTTGGTGTAATTCATAGGATGATTTTTCAGGATTGTCACCATATGAAAGGAAGAGACTGAAGAACATATCAGAAAATGCAAACTTTTTTGCTTCACTTCAGTTGTCTGAGGTTTGTGTGGAGTTTCTCATTAAAACCAACATACCTTTCCTGTTGCCAGTAAGTCAGTAAAATATTCACATCAATCAGGTTTCATAGTGTCAGGTGAGCTTCAGTAAATTAGGAGCAAATTTTGCACTTAATAGAAAGAGGTTACCATACTTTATTAATTCCAAGACTTTTCTTTCATTTTAATACTTTTGAAATAAGCATCTTAAAAACTATAACTGGCACCTCCTCTCCTCCTCTGGTGGTACATAAAGTAATGATGGCTTATGAAAAGTTGTTTTGGATTCAAAGAAACAGGGTATGTTTTAGTGGTTTCTTTAATGGATAAAGGAGAAGGAGCGATGGGTTGAAGGATGTGAGGTAGACAATGGAGAAGACAAGCTTTTTTTTTATTTTAATTTATTGATTTTGTACAGAGAGGAATGGAGAGAGATAGAGAGTTAGAAACATCGATGAGAGATAGACATCGATCAGCTGCCTCTTGCACACCCCCTACTGGGGATATGCCCGCAACCAAGGTACATGCCCTTGACCGGAATCGAACCCGGGACCTTTCAGTCCCCAAGTCGACGCTCTATCCATTGAGTCAAACCAGTCTTGGCAGAAGACAAGCTTTTAAAAATAATCTTAGACAGTAATGATAGATAGGAATAAGATTTGTGTAGGAAGTGTTAAGGATAAGGGGCTAGATCTGTACGTATATTTTATAATCATTATAATTAAATGTATAACTTACATGGTGTCTTTACACTGGGCGGTAAGCTTCTATGTGTGAGAGAATAACTGTTTAGGAGGATATGTGATGTTCCCTCCAAAACAATAAATTGAATTCTCCAAATACCAGATTCCCATATATTCAGTATATGTTTGCACCTTGCAGGGAAGGGAAGTTAATATAATTTTATATAAATTATATATGTGTGTCATTAATGACAGTTCTTGAGAAATTTAGACAGACTATCTCTAATTTTGATTTTAGTTAACAGAACTTCTGATTTGATTTATTATATAAGTATAACATAACTTTTCTAGAAAATATCAAAATATGATTGCCTTAGTGGAAGTTAAATCTTTTGATTTATAATCGTATATTTGATTAAATGTTTAATCATGTAAAATCATTAGCAACCTGGATTAAGGCATTAGAATATCAGTACTTTAGACAGTATTAGATACTTGCTTTTATTATTAATAATATATTTGTCTCAGGTCTACTACCAAGAGCAGGTATCATAGGATCTTTATTTCCTGTATAGATCTTAGTTTATGTAGATATAGTGGCAGATACTTAATATTTTAAAATATAAACTGTGTAGTTATAAGCTATTATACTTTGTATATTTTGCAGTCAGCCGCCAGGTTACGTGAAATGATAAAGAAGAGACAGCCTTCTGAATCCAGAAGGTAAAAGATATGATTTACAGTGTCTGCTCCATGATATATTGCTCAGTTGTTTTATAATTTGAAAAAAATGATTCGGCAGAATAAAATAAGTAAAATCCGAAACTCTGTAATTTAATCTTAATCCTTATATGATTTCTGAGAGAATGCTACCTTTTAGTAACTAAAGTTCTCATCCTCATCAAAGGAATATAGAGGAAATAGAATCTTGAAAGCTGAATTTTATTTCTATTTAATACTGTTGCTGTTGATGGAGGGAAATCTTTACTTTCACTAAATTTTCTTACTTTTGCCTAGGAAACTATTATTCCCCCCCCCCTTTAATATAATTTATTGGGGGTAACATTGGTTAATAAAATTACTTAATTTCAGGTATACAATTCTATACATCATCAGTTTATTGTATTTTGTGTTAACCACCCTATGTCAAGTCACCTTCCATTACTGTTTATCCCCTTGTATCCTCTTCTTCTCCTCACTGAAAACTGTTTTTCTTAAAGATTCTTCTGCTTTTTTAATTTTCTGGCTGTCCTTTTGCTTCTCAATTTGTGTTTTCTTTTACATTACTAGAATTGATTTCAGAGAGGAAGGGAAAGGGAAGAGAAAGATAGAAACATCAATGGTGAGAATCATTGATCAGCTGCCTCCTGCATGCCTCCTACTGGGGATGGAACCCACAACCTGGGCATGTGCCCTTGACTGGAATTGAACCAGGGACCTTTCCGTCCACAGGCTAACACTCTATCCAATGAGCCAAACCAGCTAGGGCTTTTATCTCATTTAATTCTAATTAACAACCAAATGTTCTAGGTTATATATCTATTTTGTTAGAGAACAGGCTCAAAGAGGTAAACTAATTTGCTTAAGGTCAAAATAGCTCAGAAGTGGAAGTTTTATTTAGTATACCTTAGCTTAAGTTCTATCTACTGCATTTTAGCAGTGCTTATGTATAAGTGAAGAAACTAAAAATCTTGGTAGCATTAAATCATTTGTTTAGTGTTAATGGTAATGAAATATAGCCTCACTTTAATTGGTTTAATTTTTTTAAAATTTAATGATTTTAGAGAGAGGAGAGAGGTAGAGAGAGAGAGAAATCAATTTGTTGTTCTACTTATTGGTTGCTTCTTGTATGTGCCCATAACCTTGGCATATGAGAACGATGCTCTAACCATCTGAGCTGCCGGGCCAGGGCCTTGGTTTGATATTAATAAGGTCAATTAACTTCAGAAAAGCTAAACTTAATTATGGCCATATATTTGTGAATGTGTAATGTTTGAAGAGGAATGTTATTAACCCTACAAAGCAGTAGCACTGGTTATGTTGCCACTGATTAAGAGCTTTATATTTGCATATTTTTTATTAGTAAAGATTGGTAATTTGTACCCAAATTCATTCTTACGCGACTTTGTTGTTATTTTCAGTGTGCACGAATCTGTGCACTGGGCCTTTAGTATTTATTATATATTTTAAAATTCATTCACATTAATATGTACAGCTTTATTTCATTAATTTCTGTTGCTGTATGAATGTACTATACACACCCATGTGCAGGTTTTATGTAGATTCTCATAAAGTTTTTTTTTTTTAATATAATATATTTTTATTGATTTTTTACAGAGAGGAAGGGAGAGGGATAGAGAGTTAGAAACATGGATGAGAGAGAATCATCGATCAACTGCCTCCTGCACACCCACTACTGGAGATGTGCCTGCAACCAAGGTACATGCCCTTGACTGGAATCGAACCTGGACCTTTCAGTCGGCAGGCTGATGCTCTATTCACTGAGCCTAACTGGTTTTGGCTCTCATGGAGTTTTTAACTCTCGGACTTGTCCACACTGAGCCTCCAGCAGTTGGGCAGTTACAGTTTAGGTTTTCCTGGTGCTTCAGGCACTGCTTTTCCTGGTGGCTTTCATTCCTGAGTCTCTGCTCCAGTAAGTCATGAGTGCTGTGTTTTCCTGTGTGTCTCTCCAATATTGGGGCCAGTGGTTTTCACTGTGTCCTTGCCACTCTTAAGGATCCTAGAAAAGTTGTGGATTTTTCTGTCCACCTTTAAAAAAAATTATTTATTGTTGAAAGTATTAAACATATGTCTCCCTCCCTCCCCTGCATTGACCTCTCCCTGGCTGCTCCCTCCCCTCAGCATGAGACAGAGTGGTGACTTTCAAGCTCTCTACATGTGGAATCAGAAATTGGAAGTTCTGAGCCCATTAAAATGAAAAATAGGCCCTAGATGGTTTGGCTCAGTGGATAGAGTGCCTGTGGACTGAAGAATCCCAGGTTCAATTCCAGTGAAGGGCACATTCCTGGATTGCAGTATCGATTCCCAGTGTGGGGCATGCAGGAGGCAGCCGACACTGATTCTGTCTTATCATTGATATTTCTATCTCTTCCCTTTTTCTCCCTTCTTCTCTGAAATAAAAAAAATATATTAAAAAAATAATAAAAAAATTAAAAAAAACTGCATTAAAATGTAGGGTATAGATAGAGTGGGGCAAAAATAGGTCAACAGTTGTTTGTATGGAAAATAATACAATAATACATAAGTAATAAGAATAAACTTTCAAGTACTCACAACTGTAAACCTACTTTGCCCCACCCTGTATATGATTTTTAAAAAGTAAACTATATGGAAGGGAATATAATGAAATGTTTAAGTCTCTTTCCCATTTTAGACCTTAGTTCTCCAGACCTTCTCCCTAGAGGAAACCACTCTTAAAAGGTTCATGTATATTCTTTAATAGGTGATCTCAGCATGCACAAATGCATGTGTATATGTAACCTTTTTGTAAAAAATAAATAATATTTAATATGCACGGACCTTGTTTTTGCTTCCTTCTTATGAGTTCATTTCATATTAACATATTTTATTATGGCTACAAATTATTCTATTTGATATGTATGTCATAATTTATTTAACACCCTTCATTTCCCCATGATGAACATTTATGATGCTTTTAGAGTGTTAATTAAAATCAGTATAGCCATGTACATATTGCAGTGTGTAACTATATCCATGAGATACATTCTTAGAAGTTATCCCCTTAATATTAGTAAATTCATATAACTTTTATGAGTGCAACGTAAGTTTTTTTCTACTTCTTTAGAAAGAAGCCCAAGAAGAAAGAAAATGGGATTGGATGTAGAAGATCAATGCGATTACTAAATGTTGATCCTTTAGGAATTTCATTACCAGAAACCCCAACCCAGCCAACAGTAGTAGAAGATGAAAATGTAAGAAAGAAAGAGTGCAAATACAATATATTAACTCAACAAAACACTGGAAATTTTATGAGACTGACGCGCTACCTACTGCACTAACGAGGCACCTAAAACACTGAAAATTTTAAAGTGTTTGAAATTAGAGTAAAAGGTCACTAAATTATGTTTAATTTGTATTTATTAATTTGGTACTTGACTGGTGAATGGTTGTTTTTTTTAAATATATTTTATTGATTTTTTTTTACAGAGAGGAAGGGAGAGGGATAGAGAGCTAGAAACATCGATGAGAGAGAAACATCGACCAGCTGCCTCCTGCATACCCCCAATCGGGAATGTACCCGCAACCAACGCATATGCCCCTGACCGGAATCGAACCTGGGATCCTTCAGTCCGCTGACTGATGCTCTATCCACTGAGCCAGACAGGTTTTGGCTGGTGAATGGTTTAATGCAGAAGTTTTAAACCAGTGTTCCCCAAGAATTTTTAAAACATGCAATCCCTGACTATTTGTTAGGGGCACTGATTTCTTTTGCCTTACATTGTGAGATAAAATGATAACAGCTGTCCATTTGAATGAATCAGAATTATATCTATTTTTTTTTTTTTTGTCAGATTGGCCAAAAAGATATTTTTTGGTGTGCCGCAGAATTTTAGTAATTAGTTTATGTGTGCCATGAGATGAAAAAGATTGAAAATTGCTGGTTTAATGACTAAGATTTCGGTTGGATTCTGTATCTCTGCTGGTTTACCTGCTATGGGATTGTGGGTAAATTAGTTAGCTTTTTTGAGTCCTGGTTTTCCCATTTTTTAAATGGCAACAATAATAGAAACCTCAATAGAATGTTGTGAGGGTTAAATGAAATAGTTTCTATAAAGATCCTTATATTTTATTAGGGCTTAGGAGTAATCAATAAATGGTAGTTATTAATTAATATAAATAAATAATATGTGTTAATAGTAATGGAATTTTTAGCTATAGTTTAATTTTATGCTGTCTGAGTGGAAAGAGTCTTATTTACTAAACTAGTTGCCTGGTGCACAAAATTTGAGTACGTGTGTGTGTGTGTGTGTGTGTGTGTGTGTGTGTGTGTGTGTGTTTGTGTGTGTGTGTGTGTATGAATGTGTGTCCCTCAGCCACCTGCACCCTCTCCAATCTGGGACACCTAGGGGGATGTCCGACTGCCACTTCCTGTAGGATTGGGCCTAAACTGGCAGTCGAACATACCTCTCACAATCCAGGACTGTTGGCTTCTAACCGCTCACATGCCTGCCTGCCTGATCGCCCCCTGATCACTCTTAACCTCTCCTCCTGCTGGCCTGATCGCCCCCCAACTGCCCATCCCCACCAGCCTGATCACACCCAGTTGCCCCCTCCTGCTGGCCTGGTCGCCCCCAACTACCCCCCCTGCCAGCCTGATTGCTCCAATTGCCCCCCTGCCAGCCAGCTCGCTCCCAAATGCCCTCCCTGCTGGCCTGCTCACCCCCAACTGCCCCCCCCCCCCCCCGCCAGCCTGCTTGTTCCTAACAGCCCCCTTACAGGTCTGCTCCCCAATGACTGTCCCCCCTGCCAGCCTGGTCGCCCCCAACTGCTCTCCCCTGCAGGCCTGGTTGCCCCTAACTGGCCTTCCCTGCTGGCCTGGTCTCCCCCAGCTGCCCTCCCCTGTTGGCCTGGTCTCCCCCAACTGCCCTTCCTGTTGGCCTGGTCGCCCCCACCTGCCCTCCCCTGCAGGCCTGGTTGCCCCTAACTGCCCTCCCCTGCTGGCCTGGTCTCCCCCAACTGCCCTCCCCTGCCGGCCTGGTCTCCCCCAACTGCCCTCCCCTGCTGGCCTGATTGCCCACAACTACCCTCCCCTGCCAGCCATCTTGTGGCAGCCCTATTGACCACATGGGGACATGGGGGTGGCTATCTTGTGGGAGGGCATGAGGGTCAATTTTCATATCACCTCTTTATTATATAGGATTATTGTAAAATAAGATTTAAAATCTAAAATAATTTTAGTCTAAATATATTTTTTATTCAATAGCACCTATTTTTAACACTATATCTCTTAAGTGTTTAATTATACTTTGGAAGATAACACTAATTAGGCTCATGCTTTGGAAGCGAATTGCAAATTAAGCTCCTATGGGAAGAGTAGCTTTCAAAATTCTTAGAAGCCTCCACTCAAAATAAGAAATATATTTACATTGAACTCATTACACACTCACGCATGCACGCACGCATACACACACCCCCCCTCTAAAACAAAACTTGTGAAATACTTTTCTACATGTGATGCACTTTTGTATTTTCTATTCTATTGTTTCTTCTTCATATTTATTTTTATTCACTAAAACACATTGCTGGTTATGACATTAAAGTGATTTCATGATCCATAGGTTACAATCTCTTTTAAAGACACTGGCATAGAATAATAACTTTGATTAATGAATCAACCTCATAACCAGTTATTGGCAGTGGAACTTTGGGTAAGTTAACTCCTTTAAGTTTCATTCCAGTATTTTTAAAATGTGATATCTCCTTTACTGGATTGAGATGATTAAAAGATAATGCATTTTGTTACAGGAAACATGACATTCATTCATTGAGCAATTATTTTAGAAAACTAATGATGTGTCACCCCTATTTTTGGTATTGAAAGTAAAGTAGTGAAAAATCTCAAGCCTCCATTCTAGGGCAGGGCGACAATCAACTCATGTTTTTATGTTTTTATAACAGCCTTTGTTACCTCCTGGGCCTTTAGAAATGACTCCTGCAAATCGAGATGATAACAGTGAACTATTTAAAGGATTTCTACGGACTTGGGCAGAAGTGAACAAGGTATCAGCTGTATGTATGGGAGGGGGGGCAATGTTAAAATATGTACACAGATAATTTAATAAAAAAATATATAAAAAAGGTATCAGCTGGGAAGGCTTACATAAGCTTTTAGGATCATTTGTTAATGAAAATTCAGTACATATATTAACTTAATACTTTGATCTCTCCCATTGTTTCAGACAAGTAGTAAGAATTCTGAGAAGAGGTTATCGAGCATTAAAAGGTCAGTTAAAATTCCTGGTCTTTATTTACATTTTCTGAGAGCTTTTAATTAAAGACTATACAATTGGAAATTTTGAAAATGAGGTGATAATTTTACCCATAATATTTCCTATCAACTATTGATTTAAAAATATATGTATTTTATTGATTTTTTACAGAAGCAAGGAGAGAGATAGAGAGTTAGAAACATTGATGAGAGAGAAACATCGATCAGCTGCCTCCTGCACATCCCCTAGTTGGGATGTGGCAGCAACCAAGGTACATGCCCTGGACGGGGATCAAACCTGGGATTCTTCAGTCCGCAGGCCCACGCTCTATCCACTGAGCTAAACCAGTTAGGGCTGATTTTGTATATTTCCTTTAAAGTATTGCCATATGCAATACCTCTAGGATATAAGCTTCATGAATGTAGGGGTTTTATCTCAATTCCCAGAATAGTCCTGGAACCTAGTGATATTCATTTGAATGACTGAACCCACAAATAAATAAATAAATGAATATATATATATATATATATATATATATATATATATTTTTTAATATATTTTATTGATTTTTTACAGAGAGGAAGAGAGAGGGATAGAGAGTTAGAAACATCGATGAGAGAGAATCATCGATCAGCTGCCTCCTGCATGCCCCCTACTGGGGATGTGCCCGCAACCAAGGTACAAGCCCTTGACCGGAGTCAAACCCAGGACCTTTCAGTCCCCAGTCCGACGCTCTATCCACTGAGCCAAACCGGTCCCGACTGAATCCACAAATATTTTTATTCTGTGTTCTTTTATTTGTTATTTTTTTTAATTGAATTTATTGGGGTGATATTGGTTTGTCATGTTCTAATGTTTATACAATTTTGCATTATGCTTTTTCATTAACATTGTGGTTGAACATTACTAGCTTTAAATTTTTTATTAATCGCAGAATATTTTATTGAGTAGGTGGAATTTACTTAACCTTCTTTTACTCCCCTGGTATTTGGAGTTGTTTCCTATTTAGTTTTGTGTGCTTGTATGTGTGCATGTGTTTGTTGAAGTATACTGTATATGTATGATCGTAGATTATTTCCTTAGGATAGATTCCAGAAGTGATATTAATGTGTGGCATGTTATGGACATATTTATGGCTTTTAGTACACATTGTTGAATTGTTTTTCAAAATCTTTTTTCTTTTGAAAATCTTACATGAATTTACTCTGCCACTAGCAATATATATGAATGTATATGTTTAACTGTAGCCTACTAGCTTTTTACATGTAAAGAATAGTACCTCATTATTTACTTTGGTTTCTTTGGTTGAATATTGTCAGAAGGTTGAATATTTCTCCACATTTGTTTACTAATGTTTTTTTTTTTTTCTTTTGTTTCATCTTTTTACTTATTTTGTCAATTAAGAATGGTTTTATGTCTAAAATATAACTTTAATTTTCTCAGCTACAAAGCCAATTTAAGTGGCATGGTCATTAGTGAAGATACCGTTTGTAAAGTTACCCAAGGTTCAATATTCTCTATGGCTCTTCATCCATCAGAAATTAGAACTTTAGTGGCAGCTGGGGCCAGATCTGGGCAAGTTGGACTTTGGGATTTGGTAAGTTATTAATATTTTTGAAGATACAAAGTTTGACTAAAGTAAATAATCTGCAAGAAAATAGCCTAGAACTGTATGTTTGTAGGTGTTATTTATAGTTTTGTGCTTTGTGATTCCAAATTTTAGAAATCTGATAAATTTAAATTTGCTTTATAGAACTTGAACATTTTTAACTTGAGTATCGTTAGTCATCTGGGCATAAATTGACTGCCAAGAAATTTTATTATAACTTTAAATGTATACTTGAAAAGATCACACAAAGTTCTTATTTTTCTAATTATGCTTAAAATACAGTTTCCCAGACTTATACAGAGAACATTTTGACTGTTGCCAGATGGAAGGGGAATTGAGGGGATGGGTGACAAAGGTGAAGGAATTAAGAAGTAAAATTGGTTGTTACAGAATAGTTACGGGAATGGAAAGTACAGCATAGGGAATATAGTCAGTTATTAATATTCTAATAACAATGTATGGTATTAGATGGCTGTGAGATTTATTGGGATAATCATTACATTATATAATGTCTAATCACTGGGGAGTATATGTGAAATTAATATAACAATAATATCAACTGTAATTGAAAAATAAAAATGATTTTGGTGTTGTGATTGAGAAATCTTTTTCTAGGTCAAAATCTTGAAGATTTTCTCTTGTCCTTCCCCACTCCCCCAAACTTCTATAGTTTTAGCTTTCACATTTGGTTTACTGATCTATCTTTAGTTATTTTTTTGTTTGTGTGAGGTAAGGGCCCAAGTTTATCTTTCTTCTTTTTTTCTTTATTGATTAAGGTATTACATATGTGTCCTTATCCAAGTTTATCTTTTTGTATGTGAATATCCAATTGTCCCAGTACTATTTGTTGAAAAGACAATACTTGCCCCATTGAATTGCCTCGGCACTCCTTGTTTTTTATTTTATTTTATTGATTTGAGAGAGAAACATTGATTTATTGTTCCACTTATTTATGCATTCATTGGTTGATACTTCACTTGATCTTAGCCAAAGGGCTGAGAAGTGATCATTGGTTGATTCTCAGATATTTCCTGACCAGGGATTAAACCCTCAATCTTGGTGTATGGGGATGACACTCTAACCAACTGAGCTATACAGCCAGGGCTCTTAATTTTTCCTCCTAATTTTCTATCAGTTTTGTAGTCTTACCTAGAATCAACAGTTCAGTTAGTCTTTATTCAGTCATCCACCCAACCACACATTGAGTATTTTGTGTGAGGTGTTACTCTAATACTCCCCACCAGTAGACATTTGTGAGCAAAGACTGTCTCTGTCCACGTAGAGTTTAGAATTTAATAGCAAGAGCAGGATTAATAAGATAATTATCAACTGTGTAATTTCATCTTTGGTAAGTGGATTATACATTGATTCATGTCATGAAGGAAAAGTAGTGTTTTGAAAACACATAATGGGGGACTGGCTTAATTTGCATGACCAGGGAAGGTATTCCTGAGGAAGTGAGAACTGAGTTGAGACTTGAAAGCTAAGTAGAAGGAGTAAGCCAAGTAAAGAAAAGGGAAAGTGTGTTTCAGACCAGGGGAACAGCATGCCAAAGACCGTAAGCAGAGGTGCTTACTTGATGCATTCCAGGGCCTGTGAGAATGCCTGAATGGCTGGAGCATAGACAGCAAGGGATGAACAAAGGCCAAAACTGGTTTGGCTCAGTGGATAGAGTGTTAACCTGTGGACTGAAGGATCCCAGGTTCAATTCCGGTCAAGGGCAAATACATTGGTTGCGGACACATCCCCAGTGGGAGGTGTGTAGGAGGCAGCTGATTGATGTTTCTCTCTCATCGCTGTTTCTAGCTCTCTATCCCTCTCCCTTCATCTCTATAAAAAATCAATAAAATATATTAAAAAAAAAAAGGATGAACAAAGGCGATGAATGGACTAGGAGGAAGCTGTAGAGGTGGGCAGAAGGCTGATATATATCTTTACAATTTTTGTTAAGAATTTTATTTTTATCCTAAAAGCAACTGGAAACCATTGAAGAGTTTTAGGCTGGGTGTTCCCTTTATTCCTTATGTAAAGTCCTTTAATGTTTTTGCCACTTTATTTCCATTCTTTCTGCCAACATGGTGGGCCAGGGCCCCATCTCCTTTTTTTGGGATTAACTGGTGCTTGTACTTCCAGCTTTTCTATATCAATCCAGTGTGCACAGATAGTCACAGGTTCAAGACAGACTGGTTCTAGACTCATTTAGGTTTAAAGTAGGCTCATTCTCAACCTGGAGTATTTAGTTTAAAATGGGGGATTGGAATTTTCTCATAAAATGAATAAAAGATTGTCAAATCAGAAAAAAAATTACTTAAAACAATAAGGAAGAAATGTAACTTAAAAACTACTTACCAGGACAGAAACAAATTCTGTAGCTGAGATGATAGAAAGCACAGTGTGGTTTAGCTTCTACCCTGAAAATCCGTTCTGGTTAATTGACCACACCCTGAGATTTTCACCTGTAGTCTCAAAACTAGAGAGAGGCACAGTGAGGGGATATTTAGATTTTTTCCTCTTTTGAGTGAGGAATAAGGAAAGGCTGCTGGGGGAAAATGGGGAAAAAAGGGAGTGAGAAAAGTGACTAGTGGAAGAGGTGTATGTGATTGTAATTTTTCCTTCTTAAAAATTCTGTTTATTTTAAAGTTTTAAATAAAAAAGAAAACAAAAATGGAGGACTATTTTAGAGCAGACTCAACCAGATTTGGAGATGATAGTTGCTTTGGTTCATAGCATGATGCATGGCATAGAATATAACTTGTCAAATCAGAAAATGATGATTTACTAGTAGGAATTGGTAATCTATTGTAGTTGTGGAAAAGATAATACCCCCTTTTATTGAATTTATTGGAGTGACATTGGTTAATAAAATTTTGTAGGTTTTACGTGTACAGTTCTATAATACATCACCTGAATATTACATTATATGTTCACCACACCAAGTCAGGTCTCCTTCCTTCACCATTTACCATCCTCCCAACCCCCAGTACCTTCTTCTGCCTCCCCCACCCCTTTTATCTCTGATAATCATTATACTGTTATCTGTGTCTATGAGTGGTTTTTTCTTCTTAATCACTTCACCTATTTTACCAATCCCCTATCCCTCTAACAGCTGTCAGTCTGTTCTCTATCTATGAGTATGTTTCTACTTTGTTAGTTAATTTTTTTTAATATATATTTTATTGATTTTTTTTACAGAGAGGAAGGGAGAGGGATAAAGAGTTAGAAACATCCGCCAAAACTGGTTTGGCTCAATGGATAGAGCGATGGTCTGCGAACTGAAAGGTCCCAGGTTTGATTCTGGTCAAGGGCATGTACCTTGGTTGCGAGCACATCCCCAGGAGGGGGAGTGCAAGAGGCAGCTGATCGATGATTCTCTCTCATCGATGTTTCTAATTCTCTATCCCTCTCTCTTCCTCTCTGTAAAAAAATCAATAAAATATTTTTAAAAAATTAGAAACATCGATGAGAGAGAAACATTGATCAGCTGTCTCCTGTACACTCCCTACTGTGGGTATGTGCCCACAACCAAGGTACAAGCCCTTGACTTAGAATCGAACCTGGGATCCTTCAGTCCCAAGGTGGATGCTTTATCTACTAAGCAAAACTGGTCAGGGCAGTTAGTTTATTTTTTTCATTAGATTCCACATATAACTGAAATCATACGGAACTTATCTTTCTCTGACTGGCTCATTTCACTTAGCATAATGTTCTTTAAGTCCATCCATATTGTTGCAAAGGGTAAGATTTCCTTCTGGTCCCCCATTTTTTATGGCTGAGTAGTATTCCATTGTGTAAATTACCACAGCTTTTATATATACATATATACATATATATATATATATATATATGTATGTATGTATATATATTAGAGAGAAAGAGAGGGAGAAAGAAACATCGATGATGAGAGAGAATCATTGATTGGCTGCCTCCTGCATTCCCCCTCCTGGGGATCAAGCTCGAAACCCAGGCATATTCCCTGATGGGGAATAGAACTGTGACCTGCTGGTTTATAGGTTGACATTCAACCACTGAGCCACACTGGCCAGTCTGTACCACAGCTTTTTTATTCATTCATCTACAGATGGACACTTGGGCTGCTTCCAGTTCTTGGCTATTTTTGTACATAACAATATTAATGTGGAAATTAAAAATCATGTATTTTCATTGTCTACTTAGAGAGTAAACTATTTCTAAAACTCTTATTTTGTTCCAGGACCTTGCAAATATTATTCTGAGAATGTTATATGAGCTCATATTATATAGCAGTATACTTAACGAAGCAAAGTGGTAACAGTATTGATACTGTTTTTGGTAGTAAGGAATAATACTGAGTGGATTTCTCATTTCCTGAAGATTTTATGAACTGAAGTCCTAATGAGCAGTCATTTTTCTCTCTCTGTATAATAAATAAACTACCTAGTTGCAAAAAGCTAGAAACGTAAAATAAATGTGACTCATTGAATTGAAAATTAGAGAAAAAAGTAGCTTAGTGACAGATGAAGTTTCTAGTTTTGACTTTCTGAATGGGATGTGGTGAGTATAATGATAGACTAAGAAAAGACTGAATATAATACAGAATATAATATTTTCTGTATTATATTCAGAAAATATTATTACTTTTTATTAGTTTTTGTTCTTCCTTTCCCCAACTGTCTTCCAGACTCACCAACCCAAAGAAGAAGGAGTTTATGTTTTTCAGCCCCACAGTCAGCCAGTTGGCTGTCTTTACTTCTCACCTGCCAATCCGGCTCACGTACTGTCCCTGAGCTATGATGGCACGTTACGCTGTGGGGATTTCTCCAAGGCTGTTTTTGAGGAGGTAAATGTTAACGTGTTTACATGTCGTCTCAGTGATATTTTGGATTCTTTATGAAATGGCACATGAATCATTGTTACATCAGTTAGATTGGGTAAGATAGTAGCGACTTTAGAACTATACTGCCTAAGTCCCAAACCACTTATTACTATTGTACTTGTGTGACCTGGGAAGTTACTTGACCTGTGCCTCAGTTTCCTTAGTTGTAAAACAGGCTAGTACCTTATAGAGTTGTTATGAGTATTAAGTGCAGATGAGTTAATGCAGATAGAATACCTAGAGGACAGTTGTGAAATCAAACCACAATCTAATTTTTTTTTTTTTTTTTTTTTTTATATATTTTTATTGATTTTGTACAGAGAGGAAGGGAGAGAGATAGAGAGCTAGAAACATCGATGAGAGAGAGTCATCGATCAGCTGCCTCCTGCACACCCCCTACCGGGGATATGCCCGCAACCAAGGCACATGCCCTTGACCGGAATCGAACCCGGGACCTCTCAGTCCCCAAGCAGATGCTCTATCCATTGAGCCAAACCGGTTTCGGCTTGAGCCAAACCGGTTTCGGCCACAATCTAATTTTAGAATATTTTCATCACCCCTAAAATAAACTCTTTGATCATTAGTAGGTACTCCCAATTCCCCCCAGTCCTAGACAGCCACTAATCTACTTTATGTCTCCATAGATTTACCTGTTCTGGATATTCCATATAAATGGAGTCATACAGTTTATACTTTTTTTGTGTGTGACTGGCTTCTTTTTACTTGGCAAAATGTTTTCAAGGTTCATCCATGTTGTAGAATGTGTTGGTACTTAGTCCCTTTTTAATGGCTGACTAATCTTCCAGATTTTACTCATCCATTCATTAGTTGACAAACATTTTGGTGGTTTTCATTTTTTACTGTTGTGAATAATGACACTGTGGACATTAATGTACAAGTGTTGTGTGGGCATAGGCTTCCCTTTCTTTTGAGTATATGGTGGGTCATATGGTAACTTAAGGAGTAGAATGGTGGGTCATAAGGTAACTCTATGTTCAAATTTTGAGGAACTGCCGAACTGTTTTCCAAATTGACTTTACCATTGTATATATTTATCGGCAATATGTCAAGGGTTCCAATGTCTTTACATCCTTGCCAACACTTGTTATGTTTCTAACTCTCTCTCCCTCTTCCTTCCTCTCTGTAAAAATCAATAAAATCAATAAAATATATTTTAAAAAAGGAGTAGGTGAGCATTTAGCCATGTATTTTGGATTTTATTGGCTAAGTTACCTGGTATATTAAGGTATTTCAGTTGGGTAGAATTCAGATGTAGTCCATTTCCTAGTATGTTTCACAGGGTAGATCTGCAACTGAGGTTTATTGGACTTAAGAGATTTGGGATGTAGCCATGACATGGATGGACAGGCCATTTTCTCACAACTGTTAGTGCCTTAGTTTCCATCTCTGTAAATAGGGACAATCATTTTGTCCTGTCCTTCCTGTGGGGATGGTGGGGGATAAATGAGATTAGTTGGGTAAAGTGTGTCCTAACTTTTTAAATCAAAGAATTTATGCATTGACTTTCTTTAGAAGAAGAGTTATATAAAGTTGATTGCTACTTATATCCTTAGGTCTATAGAAACGAGGGAAGTAGCTTTTCCTCCTTTGACTTCTTGGCAGAAGATGCCTCCACTTTAATAGTAGCACACTGGGATGGAAGTATGTCATTGGTGGATAGACGGACACCTGGAACTTCTTATGAGAAACTTATCAATTCTTCTATGGGAAAAATAAGAACTGTTCATGTCCACCCAGTGCATAGACACTATTTCATGACTGCAGGATTGAGGTACGTTCTTCATAAAATTTTATGATTTAGGCCCTTTATTGTCATCCTCATCTGAGGACATGCTTTTATTGATTTTAGAAAGAGAAAGAAAAAGAGAAACATTGATGTGAGAGTGAAATATTAATCTATTGCACCCCATCCGGGATCGAACCTGCAACCTGGCTATGTGCCCTGACTAGGAATCAAACTGGCAACCTTTCAGTGCACAGGATGATGTTCAACCAACTGAGTCATACTGCCCGGGACTATGATACAGGTCTTTTTGTGTTTTTGATAGACCTCACCTGAGGATATATTTTCCCCCATTGATTTTAGGGAGAGTGGAAAAGAGAGGGAAAGATGGAGAGAAACATTGATGTGAGCCAAACACATCAATTGGTTGCCTCCTGCATGAGCCCTGACCAGGGCCTGGTCCGGGGAGAAGCTTGCAACCGAGGTACATGCCCTTGACCAGAATTGAACCCGGGACCCTTTGGTCCACAGGCCGATGCTCTATCCACTGAGCTAAACCAGCTAGGGCTATGATATAGGTCTTCTAATGTTATGGATAATATTTCAATTTGGTTGTTAAAGCCATCTGACTTTTGTGATATAGCTGAATAAACTTTTTTCTACACAATATTTTTGAATGTGATTAAAAAAATATTTTGGATTTAATTAATAGTTAAAGTATTGAAACAAGCACACATTTTTGTTTTCCCTAGCATCAAATGCATTTACTTCTAGACTTTTGAGAAGAAAACTTGTAAAAAAAAAAAAAAAAAAAGTTATGTGATTTTATAACTTGTTGGTCTGTGTTAATTTTTTTGGAGAGATTGGAAAACCAACTAGACTCTTATCTCAATACCCACTGGTTACATTGGTAGGCTATAGTTTTGGAATTTTTGTAATATTTTAAACCTTTACTAGTGTTTGTAAAAATGCAGGAGATTAGAGGATTTTGTCTTAACTGTTCTGGAATGTAGTGAGTGTTTGTCTAATTATGATTAGCAGTATCCTAGAGGCTTATTACATGCACTATGGTAACACCAAGACTTATTCTCTCCATTACAGAGATGTTCATATTTATGATGCAAGGCACCTGAATCCCAAGAGAAGCCAGCCTTTGGTTTCTTTGTCTGAACACACAAAGAGCATCGCTTCTGCTTATTTTTCACCTCTAACTGGTAACAGAGTAGTAACCACATGTGCCGATTGTAAGCTGAGGTAAATTGGGAAGACAAAGATATGTTAAGGAATCTAAAGTGCCCGTAGCTACTGTGCCAATAAACCAGTAGCTTTGTTTATTGCTGCTCCTTGTTCAATCACTAGTGTTATTGTTTGTAGCTATATCTAGTTCCGGAAGATCAATGGCCTGTATTTGATGGCTCTTTAGGTTATTTTCTCTTTAGTTTTTGTGCTTGGAAATTTCCTTGTGATTGACAAGGAAGGGCTATAGCTACCCTGGGGAATAGATGCTGGGCTTTCCTTTCAGCACTAAATAGTTCTGGATATCGCAACGAAAGCAGGCTTGTGATATCCTGAAAGGGAAGAAGTGTTAGCACAGGGAGAAGCTCTGACTTCGCTGATAGGAGGTTCTGTTTTACACGTGAAGTGCTGAATGGAAGTTGCAGAGTCCCAGGCCATGGGCAGGCAGAAAAGATTGCAAAAATTGGGCTTCTATACGAGCTAGTAGATATAGTTTTATGGTTTCAGTTTTGGTACCTTTCTATAGTGACTTCCTAAAAATAGAATAAAAAACGTAATGTAAACCCGTTGAACCAAAAATAAAAAATAATGCCAATAAAAAGATGTGGAGAATAATGCAACCACAAAGGAAAATGATTTTTTTTTTCTTAAGTCCCTGATTTTGCATAACTTTGCAAGCATTTCTGTTAATGAGAATTTTACCTTATGTGATTTTGGAATTCATTCATTATCTGTTCACCAAGGATCTGTTGAATGTAAACTGTGAACCAGGCTGTAGAAAGGCACATCATTTCTGTTTAGACCCATCTGTTGGGAAGAGCTTGGTCTGCAGTGTGTAGCAGGTACCCACTTCATTTCTGGCAAAGTCTGTGAGCTTTACCAGGTGGCACATTAAGAGATTCAGCCACCAGGCAGTGGCAGTTCAGTGTTCCCTTTCCACCCACACAGTATCCTTTGTCTCAACAGCTGGCATTTATCCCATTCCTGTACATTTGTGCTGTAGAGTTTACTCTTGTTACATTAGCTGTTAGGGATTTGGATTTCTAGCAATCTAATCAGGCAATAAAACTTTAATGCCAAGAAACTGTCCTAGAATAGCTAGGTACAAAAAGAGGGGGAAGGTGGTGGCAACGTGGTTTGTTTCTTCTGCCAGGGTTCCTAGCGGAGGCTTCTGGACCCCTCTAGCTGCCCCACAAGAACTCCTCCCCTTGGCTGGGACTTAGTCTTGCCTGCACCTGGAAATGATGCTTACCAGGCCCTCAACTGATGAGCCTCACAGGGAAATTGCTCTTGATACATGCATGTGCTTTTAGATTATTTGTGCATTTTTAGACCACATTCCTATGTATGACCTACTAGTGTATTACTGTGAATCAGAATATAGTTTTATAATCCAGATTATTAGTTTAGAATGTACATTTTAAGTTTGGCATAATAGTGTTTAAATTATTTTACAATACACAATAAACACTAAATTTTACCATATTTCTTATAACTTTCATTAAGTATGTTAGCTGAGGTTTATTAGATACTGATTGTATATATTTTAAAATAACAATGAAAAGGTTACTAAATACACTGATGTTATTTCATAAAAATTAGCAAGAAATAATAGTGTTACTTTATTCTTGTTCTTTATTTTGTAGAATCTTTGACAGTAGCTGCATATCCTCTCAGATTCCCCTCCTCACCACCATCAGGTAGGTTTCCTGATGTCAAATAATGCAGAACCTGGATTACCATGCACTATTTGTTGGAATACATACATTAGACACCTGATTGTGAAAGAAGTGTACTAGGTCTGATTTTTTGTGTTATAGTTTGTAAGTGTCCCAGGTTGTTAGTTCTTATGCTATCCAGAAGGGTTCTTGCTATCTTTTACAAATTTTCTTTCCCACTAGGCACAACACCAATACTGGGCGATGGCTGACCAGGTTCCGAGCTGTGTGGGACCCTAAGCAGGAAGACTGTGTCATAGTTGGCAGCATGGCCTATCCGCGGCAGGTGGCAGTCTTCCACCAGTCAGGGGAGCAGGTGCATTCTTTTCTTGGTGGAGAATGCCTGGTTTCTGTGTGCTCCATCAACGCGATGCATTCCACTCGGTATATTTTAGCCGGAGGTAATTCCAGTGGGAAGATCCATGTTTTTATGAATTAAGAAAGTTGCTGGTTTTTTGCGTTAGCAGTACTAATTTGTTCAAATTAATTGGTGTCTATTTAGCAAAGATTAATTGCTTTATTAATAGGAACTATGAGCAGAATGTACTTTTAGTGAAGGAGAATCCTTGGTTATTTCTACGGGTTGGGGGAAAATTTTGAGCGAGGCTGCAATGCCTCCAGCACTTTAATCAGGCAGTTTGTTGAGAAGCTGTAATATTAATAGTTATAAAGCTTTGAATGAAGAGTATTAAAGACTTTTGTGTTCTAATAATTTGGTTTTTAAAAAATTTATTGGGGTGACATTAGTTCATAATAACATTATGTAAATTTCAGGCATACATTTTCATACTACTGCATCGGTATATACTCTGTTGTGTGCCCACCATCTGAAGTCTGGTCTCCTCTGTCACCATATATTTTACCCCCTTTGCTTTCTTTTCCCTTCCCCAACCCCTCTTCTCTGGTAACCACCATTCTGTTGTCTATATATGAGGCTTTTTGTTCGTTTGTTGTCTTTTTATTTTATTTTAAATATATATTTTTATTGATTTAAGAGAGGAAGGGAGAGGGAGAAAGACAAACATCAACGATGAGAGAGAATCATTGATTGGCTGCTTCCTGCACACCCCCTACTGGGGATTGAGCCCCCACCTGGGGCTCGTGTCCTTGACTGGAACCGAACCTGGGACCCTTCAGTCTGCAGGCCGACACTCTGTCCACTGAGCAAAATGAGCTGGAGCTGTTTATTGCCTCTTTTTTTTTGGGGGGGGGGAAGGGGGAGAGGTATGCTTTATTTTTATTTTTGCTTAAATAAGAACAATGCAACATTCCATACTCCCTCTTCCTACCTTTGGGGATTGATATAGATTTGCTGGGGCCAAAACCTAACATTATGTCGACTTATTGCTGATGGCTAATTGACAGTGTTAGGCACAAAAAACCTCCATTGCTACGAAAAAGGTTGCAAGCTTCAGACATGTGTGGAACTGCTGCTACCCACATCACTGTAGGATTCATTCAGTGCTTAACAGATGAGGATTCTTGCACTTCACAACCAAGCTGGTGGTAAACACGATGTACTGATTCCAACTAGAAAGTGTTAAACCACAGTAACATAGCTAATGTTATACTTGTATCATGTAACTTAAGCTCCAGTTCTTTCTCCGGAGTCCTCAGCTGGCGGGTTAACAGCGTACTGAATAATGGCTAGGTCTTGCAGTTGAGCATCATTCACGAGCTTTTTGTACAATTGGGCCAATTCATCTTTAAATTGTTTTGTTTCATTGGCAACATGCGGTTCTTTATGTTTAAGCATGCCATATCCTGCATGAACTGGACACATGCACCTTTAATATTTTGCAGGCTCTGGTTTAGGATGTTTCTAGCTTTTGGGGAACACTTTCGTGGCTTGAGAAACGACTTCTTCAGTTTTTGCTCTTCTAACTTGATGTTCTGCAGAGCTCTCTCTCTCTAGTTTTGAAACAAAGTCTCTAATGGCTCTTCATATTTATCATAAAGCGTCTCCATTGGCTCCTGCCACTTCCTGTAGCTGTCTCCCTGCTTCTGGGAAATGGTTTCCAGGTGAGAGTGGCTTCCATGATGAGTTTTCTTCTCTTTGTAAGAGGCCTTTCCGTGCCACCTTTATATTTGTCCGGCATTTTCGCTATTGCCTCCCCCATTGCTCTGTCATGTAGATTTGAAGGAGGACTGTTTCCACCCTCGTTATCAACTACTGGACTGTCTCCTGGGGCAAGTTCCTCGGCCTCACGTGCTTCTTTGCCCCCAAAGTCATTGTTTTTCTTAGCCTGATCCTCCAACAGGGCCTTCAACTCTCTGTTCATGTCCTTCTTATGAGTCTGTGGCATCATGCTGTGTCCCAGGGTAGTCATGGATCTCCTGCGCCTCTTTAGTTTTCCTTGGGCTGGGGCTCCCCGCGGAGAGTAGGTGGGCTCTGGGTGTGCCTTTTTACAGTGTCATGTCCTCTGAGTTTCCCTCAGCAGTCGCTTCACCTTTCTGTGGCCACCGATCCCGGCCTGGCTTGTTAGCTCTGGAGGCCACCACAAACAACTAGTCCCTCAGAAGGCCACCTCCGTGGAGGTGCTGAGAGCAGGCTCCAGAGAGGTCTGGGAGCTGGGGGAGGCAGAAGTGCTGGGGCTCAACACAGCCCTTAAAGGGCAGAGTGCGAATGCCTGAGGTTGGAGCTCAGGCAGTCCCCGGCCTGTTTATTGCCCTTTAAAAAAAAAAATCCTCACTTGAGGACATGTTTAGAGGGAGGAAAGGAAGGAGGGAGAGGGAGAGGGAGAGAAACATAGATGTGAGAGAGAAATATTGATTGGCTATCGTCTGCAGGCACTCCCAACTGGGGATCAAATCTGCAACCGAGGCATGTGTCCTGATTGGGAATCAAACTGGCAACCCTTTGGTGCACGGGATGACAACCAACTGAGCCGCTCCAACCAGGCTGTTTGTTGCTTTTGGTTTTATATCCCACATATGAATTATTTCACTTAGCATGATAACTCTCAAGATCCATCCATGTTGTTGCAAATAGCAATATCTCATGTTTCTTTAATGACTGAGCAATATTGCACAGTACTTATGCCATATGTGCCATATCGGCTTTCTCCAGACATCTGTTGAAGGACACTTAGGTTGTTCCATGTCTTGGCTATTGTGAAGAATGCTGCAGGAATTAAATATTCTTACAAATAGTTGTTTTGAAAATTTTGGGATAGATACCAGAAGAGGGATTGCTGGGTTTTATGGTAACTCTATTCTTAATTTTTTGAGGCATCGCTATCCTGTTTTGCATAGTAGCTATATCAGTTTACATACCCACCAATGTGTGTGAGGGTTCCCTTTTCATGTTTTCCCCAATACTGCTAGTTCTTGTCTTATTGATAATAGCCATTGTAACACGTGTGAGGTGGTATTTCATTGTGGCTTGGATTTGCATTTCCCTTATAACTAATGTTGAGCATCTTTTCATATATCTGTTGGCCACGTGTTTGTCTTCCTTAGAAAATTGCCTATTCAGGGAATTTTCCTATGCCCATTTAAGAAAAAAAATCCTCACTTGAGGATGTTTTATTGCTTTTTAGAGAGGAGGGGAAAGAGAGCAAGAAACATCCATGTGAGAGAGAAACATTGATCGGTTGCCTCCTGAATGTGTCCTGACTGGGGATAAAACCCACAGTCTAGGTATGTGCCCTGACCAGGAATCAAGGCCATAACCTTTTGGAGTATGTGACAACACTCCAGCCAACTGAGCCACACGACTAGGCCTCTGCCCATTTTGTAATGGGGTTTTCTATTTTTTGATGTTGAGTTGTATGAGTTCGTTGTGTATTTTGGATATTAGCTCTTTTTTTAATTTTTATTTATTTTTATTTTATTTTTTTATATAATAAATCTTTATTGTTCAGATTATTATAGGTGTTCCTCTCCCATCCCATAGCTCCCCTCCACCTGATTCCCTATCCCATGCCCTTAACCCCTGCCACTGTCTTCATCCATAGGTGTAAGATTTTTGTCCAATCTCTTCCTGTACCCTTCAGACCCCTTTCCCCCTGAGAATTGTCAGTCCACTCCCTTTCTATATCCCTGATTCTATTATATTCACCAGTCCATTCTGTTCTTCAGATTTTTTATTCACTTGATTTTTAGACTCACTTGTTGGTAGGTATGTATTTGATTTTTTTTGTTGTTGTTGTTCATAGTTTTTACCTTTACCTTTTTCTTCTTTTTCCTCTTCTTAAAGAATACCCTTCAGCATTTCATGTAATTCTGGTTTGGTGGTGATGAACTCCTTTAGCTTTTACTTATCTGTGAAGCTCTTTATCTGACCTTCAATTCTGAATGATAGCTTTGCTGGGTAAAGTAATCTTGGTTGTAGGTTCTTGCTATTCACTACTCCCTTCTGAACTGTATAGTTTCTGTTGAGAAATCAGCTGATAGTCGTATGGGTGCTCCCTTGTAGGTAACTAACTGTTTTTCTCTTGCTTCTTATAAGATTCTCTCTGTCTTTTGCCCTTGGTATTTTAATTATGATGTGTCTTGGTGTGGTCCTCTTTGGATTTCTCTTGTTTGGGGTTCTGTGTGCTTCCTGGACTTGTAAGTCTATTTTTTCCACCAGGTAGAGAAAGTTTTCTGTCATTATTTCTTCCAATAGGCCTTTAATATCCTGCTCTCTCTTCTTCTGGCACCCCAAAAACCTGGGTGTTGGTATGCTTAAAGCCATCCCAGAGGCTCCTTACACTATCTTCACACTTTTGGATTCTTTCTTTCTGCCTCTCTGATTGGGTGTTTTTTGTTTCCTCATATTCCAGATCTTTGGTTTGACTCTTGGGGTACATTGATCTATACTTGAGTTTCTGTATATTCTTTATTTCAGACAGTGTATGCTTAATTTGTAACTGGTACTTTTCCATTTTTTTTTATATTCTCATGAAGGTCCTTGAAGGTCTCTTCAAGTTTCTCAGCGGTTTTTAGAAGATTCTTGAGTAACTTTATAAATGTGATTCTGAACTCTGTGTCATCCAGTAGTTTACTTTCCTCCATCTCTCCCATTCGTGACATGCTTCCGTGTCTCTGCATTTTGGTTGCCTCCCTGTGTTGATGGAGTGGCTTTGTGTGTTAGGTGACCTATAGGGGCCAGTAGCTCTGCTTCCCCAATCATTCAAGGTGGTTGTTCTTGGTACACTCCTTTGTGGGCTGAGTGCAAAGTCTTGGTGTAGTTAAGCCTTGATTGCTGTTGGTACACTGGGAGGAATTGACCTCCAGGCCAATTGGCTGTGAGGACCCGTTGTGTCTATAATGGAAGAACTGCTGCTCTGGAGACTCACTTATGGTGCAGGCCTTGTTTCAGTGGGGCTTTGGTGCTCACTGAGTCCGCCTCCTGAATGTGTCATTTATGGATGTGAGGAGTTGAAATCTTATGTCTCACTGACCACTAGGTACACTGGCTTCTGGATCTCCAATGGGGTGCAGTTCAGCTACTGTCTGAGGCCACCCTGCAGGAGCTACAGCGAGAACCACAGTCCTCTCCTCGCTGCATGGAGCTTGGAAGCTTTGGAGCTGTCTGCACCTGGTTGCAAGTTTGCTAGGTTAAACTGCAATAGAGAAGGCCATTCATATGCAAAGCCGCTGCTTGGAGCTTGGGTTTGTTTGTAGATTGTGCGGGGTGGAGTCTCAGGGCATCACTAGGCTAGGGTGTGGCCAACAGCAATGGCTGCCTGTCAGCCGGCTCTGCCTCTCTGACTGTGTCTCCCC